GCCCGCCCCCTCCCGCCCTTGGCCGGGCCCCTTGTTCTGGAGCCCGCCAAGCCCCCTCCCCCCCCCCCCCCTTTCTCCCCTCCCCTCCCCTCCAACAACACCCCACCACCTCGCCGGCCCCCCGGTGCGCGACGCAGCCCGCAACTCGCCCTAGCCGCGCCCCGCCCTGGCCGGGGCGCCTCTCCAACGTTTCGCCCTCGCCGCCCCGCCCGCAGGGAGGACATCAAGGCGGAGTATGTCAAAGACAACGCAGCGCCGCCCGGCCCGCCGAGCGCTGCGACGCCGCGCGCAGGGCAAGGGGCGGGGCAGGGGGCGGGGCAGGGCCCCGAGGCGGCATCGCCCGCCGACGCGACTCGCGACGCTGCGGACTCGAGCTAGCCGGGCGCCCACCCACCTCGAGCCACCACCTTCCTCCTCTCCCTTCTCCGCGCCGCGTCCTTCGGCACGCAGACGCCGCGCGCGGTGCTGCGGCGGCCGGCAACGCCTCTGGAGTGTCGACAGCTCACAGCCGGTCTCTCGCGCTTGGTACCCCCCGGTGTCCACGGGGGGGGCGCGTGAGTTCTTCCCCGCTGCCGCTCTCGACTCTCTCTCCTCGCCTCGTACCTCGCTCGTTGAGGGCAACCGGGGCGGGCAAGCCGGAGCATAGAGTCTAGAGACTAGAGACACCGATCATATTTGTACCTTTCACATGGTCTCGACTCGACCCTCCGCCGTAACTACCGTATAGAGTTCCGTACTCGTATCTGACAAAACTGTCCGCCGCGAGATGAAGAGCACGAGCGAACCCGGCGCAACCGTCTGCCGGCGCGGCGTCGGCAGGGCGCGTCCAGGGTGCTTCGAGTACTCCTCTCCTTGATCCTCAGACCGCCTCTTCCGCGCACTCCTCCCACTCCATGGTCACGTGCCGCGCGCGGCCGAGCGGCGGCGGCGGCGGCTGCGGCGGCTCGGGGAGCGCAATGACGATGGCTCGGAGCTGCGCCGCGAGAGAAGGCTCGAGAAGGTGAGTCGGAGGCAGCATGGCGCGAGGGACGAGGCGGACGAGGCGGATGCTCATGTGGGTCGCGAGGCCGTCGGCCGCCGACGAGACGGGCCGGCCGGCGATCAGCGTGTCCGCCTGAACACAGGGCCGAGCTGCTCAGAAAAGGAGCCCCTACTTCTCCGACGTTTGGTCGGGGCGCCGAGCACCTGGAAGGGTGACTCGCCGACGAGGAGCCGCACCCTGTCGACAAACGGCGTCCCGTTGGTGACGCACTGCTCGATCTGCGCCGCTTGGGCCGCCGGCAGGAGCAGCAGCTCTGCCATGTTTCGGCCGGAGCACTCGGCGAACGATTTTCCGATGAGCATGTGTACCGCCGGCGACGCGTGCATGACGCGCCCCCGGAGGTCGACGAGCCAGCGCGCCTCGTAGGAGAGCGCGACCGCCTGCTCGAGCCTCATCGTCGACGGCGCCGCGCTCGGGCCAGGGCCGCTCGCCATCTTGATGAGGTTGTTTTCGTGCCCTAGCTTCGACCGGGTTGATTGGGAATTTGATGGAGCCTTCCGGCGTGTCAGCCATTCTCGAGGTCTCGAGGTGTGCTGTGAGCGAGGCTTGTATTTTAAGAATTCTTTCTCTTTTCCCCCTTTCCGCCGCTTTCTTGTTTTCTTTGCGAATATGAAAAATGTCCAGACAGCAACCGCAAACCGAGATCGAGTTAGGACTCCACCCACGACTCGACGGCGCCACACTGGGCCGGGCAAGAGCCAGGCCTGACGACGTACTCCTGCGCCGCCTCGTCGCACGCAAGCAGCGCCTCGCACACGGCATCGGGCGGCGCGTCGACCCACCCATCGCTCGCGCAGAGCGAGATCAGGCCGCCGCCGCCGCCCTTGCGCCACGTGCCGACGCCACCGAGCGCCGTGAGAGACTCGGCCAGCGCGCCGCCCTCGGGCGCCGCCACCGGCTCACGCGTCACCAGCCGCTTCACCCAGCCGTGCCCCGGCGTCTCGTACTCGTAACGCCAGCCGCGCGCGCCGCCGTCCGTGGCGCGCAGCACGCGCCGGATGCCAAAAGGCGCGCCTGCAGGAAGGGTCCGGGAAAGGTCCCGGGGCGGTCTGGGAGGAGGAGCAGCCGTGTGTGCCGTTGCTCGGCGCGCCGAGAAGCTGGGTGAGGCCGCGGTGGAGCGCCTGCGGGAAGGGTCCGGGAAGGGTCCGGGAATATTATCTAGGAGGAGCGGGGGGAGGCCGCGGCGGAGCGCCACGGCCGGCAGCCTCGGGCACTCGCCGGGAGACCGCTTTCCCGCTCCCGGCAGCGGCTCGCTCGACTCCGCCTCCTCCTTGGGAGAGGGCTCGCGCAGCACCGCGATTGCGCCGGCGCGAGAGAGGGACGCGTCGCCGCTCGCCAGCGCCTGCCAGCCCGCCAGCGCCGCCCCCCACCCGTCCCGCCACGGAGCCTCCTCGTCGGCAGCGTCGGCACTGTCAGCCTCGAGCGAGGCGAGCAGCGCAGGCAGCGCGGCGAGTGCCGCGTCGTAAGCGGCGGGATCGCCCCCGTGCGCGCCGCCGATGGCCTCGATCGCCGCATCGAGCCGAACGCCCGCATCGGAGGACCACTCGCCAAAGTCGCCGGCAGCCGCTCCATCGGCGAGCAGGCTGGCGTGCCGCAGGGCCGCCTCCGGGTGCAAGCAGGCGTAGGCGCTCAGGACGCCGTCGGTATCGAAGTGATTGTTGATGACGAGCGCGTCGTCGTGATCGGCGTAAGCGGTCCCACCCACGCGCCTGATCCGGGCGAGGCGTAGTGCGCACTCGGTTGAGGTGTCGGCGTACAGGTCATCCGGCGTCTCGTTGTCTGTCCAGTGCGTCAGCTCAAGGGTGGCGCCCGGCACCCGGCCGTCGCAGGTGATAGTCGCGCCGCCGGCCGGCGCTCGCTCGCCGTACGGCACGCAGCGGAAGTGGCGCAGCGCAGCGGTGGGCCGCGCTTTAGCAGCCAATACGATCAGGCAGCATGCTGATCGCAGCCGCACTCGCATTGCCCGCTGTGCGTAAGGCCAGGCCTGTTTATTTTGACGAAGAATTCTTAGCAGCATGCGGGCGCGTTGGAAGCTTCTTCCTCGGGCTGTTCCATCTCCTCATCTCTTTCCCACCTAGGCGGGGCGGTGGGCGTGCGGCGCGGTGCGGCGGTGTGTGTGTGTGAGAGAGAGAGAGAGAGAGAGAGAGAGATTTAGCAATACCAAACAAATCTAAGAGCCTGTTTTTGCCACTTCGTTAGCTCTCCAGGGGTCTCTTAATCTTGAAATCCGAGACCCAAATATCAGACCTTGCTTCAAAATCAAAGGTTTGCTTGCCACTGCGTTGCCCGGCGCCCGCGCTAATTTTCCTTAGGGTCGCGCTGCGTCTCACATTTGTCCGTGCGCGCTCCCAGCGCCGAGCCGCGGCTCCACGCGCCACCTGGGCTGCCTCTGGCACGGCCGGGGTCCGCCGAGAGGCTGGGCTTGGCCGGCGGCGCGACGCGTGGCCTGTGCTGCGGCCATCTCGGACGTTCAAGCGGCGCCAGCCAGCCAGCGGCTCGGCCGCGCATCCTTCACACACGCCGCCACGACCGGGATGAGAGGGCCCGGTGTCGAGCCCTGGTGCGAGCTGCATGCGAGGGGCGGCTATGGCCACAGCAGGTTCACCAGATGGACGTCAAAGCTGCCGTCGGCGTGCTGTCGTGGGGAGAGCCCGAGACCGCTGCAGAGGAGCCGAGTGCAGTGGCGAGCCAGAGGCTACCTGGGTCGCCAAGTGGTGGTCCTTGCCCATTCTGAGCAGGGCTGTGCTTTGGTGGGGCTGTGCTTGAGCATGTGTGAACTGGGAGTGCGTGCCGGCGGTGTCTGTGGGTGAAACAGGCGTGTGTGAGGCTGCAAGAGCCGTGGTATGAGCCAGAGTGAGCTTCATCACCCAAAGTAAGGACGGTCTGGGACAGCCCAGGCTTGATCCTGATGGGTCTGGGCCAGGAGAGCGACAGAGAAGGCGAGCTGGCGAGCTGGGAAGCCGCTTCGTCGGCATGGCCGGTGTGCGTGTTCACACGAGATATGCAAGTGCCAAAAAGCGTTGTTTGCGGCTATTGCTCAAAACTGTGGGAGAGAAGGCCTACATATTATGACTGTACCCATGACTCTGGTGCATGAGGGCTGCGGGACGGGACGTATCGCGGTCGTTGGCGCCGATGATGACCTCCGGAAAGCCCTCGCAATCGCCTCGGATGGGGTCTACCGGGGACAATCTCGAGCCCTCTCCTTGGCACCACGAGCCAGTGTGGGCTTGAAGACCCGAGTTGAGTGCGGTTTCAGACACCTCAGGCCTGCTACTGATAGGCCTGGGCCTGGAGAGCAACAGAGAAGGCGAGGTGGTGAGCTGAGAGGCTGGAGAGTCCGCGGGTGACCTTGTCACGATGCAAGTGCCAAAAAGCGTTGTTTGCGGCTATTGCTCAAAACTGTGGGAGAGAAGGCCTACATATTATGACTGCACCCATGACCCTGGTGCATGAGGGCTGCGGGACGGGACATATCGCGGTCGTTGGCGCCGATAATGACCTCCGTAATGCCCTCGCAATCGCCTCGGATGTCGACTGATCCTCAGCTGCAAGGAGATGGACATGTTGCGGGTCATCGAATACAAAGCCAACACATCTCAAAGCCGCAAGAGCACCCGATGAGCTAGCCGCAAATGCCCCACAGGGCGAGGGAACTGTTAGAATACGATCCTACACCGAGAAACTCATACTCCCACCTATTGCCGGAGCGTCGTGGCCCAGGTGCCAGGAGAGCTAGAGCAGCTCAGCTTTGCCACACCGAGATATCTCGCTCGTGAGTGCTCCAAGGCGCAAGTGAATCTCGCTGTGTGTACGCGAGCCGCGACGTCAGTAGCTCGCCGCAACCGCACCTGGATGCAATATCGTTTCGCCCCATAAGGCACAACAGAAACATGATTCGTGAAGCATGTTAGATCGCGATAACATATGTTGCCGCACATGCGACACGCACCGCCGGAGAGCTCATCAATCTCGCCTGTGCTCCTCTCAAGCGTCAAGGGTAAAACCCGGGCTGCGTCATTGGCCCAGACAAGTGATGGTGCGCGCCCAGCAGCATGCGCTGCGAGAATTTTGAGATGTCGCCCGCCTTGCGGCCTGCCCAGAGGGCCCCCGGCGCGTATTTTGGCGAGGCGATCCGGTACTGCTCCGCCACGCCCCAGCCATACTCCATCTGGGTGGTGGCCGGCTCCTGATACTTTTGGTCCGGGTGATAAGCAGAAACGCGGCGCGCCAGCTTGTCGTCGCGGATCATCCTGTATGACTGGTAGGAGCGGGCCGCATCGCGGTTCTTTGGCAAATACGGGTCGTGGACAGGCAGCAAATGCTTCTCGGTCTGAGACGCGGCGTGGGGGCCGTCGAGCGTCCCGTCGCGTGGCCGGTCGAGGCTGCTGAGTAGATCGGGCGGAGGTGGCTCTGCCAGCCGCACCGAGGCGCCAACCTCTTTTGAGACGGTGTCGAAGCGCTCACCGGTGGCGCCTGCCTCGCTGCCGAGCTTGATATTCACCTTGTGCGGATTGTACTTGACTTGCTCCACTTGACCAAGGATCATGTGCGGCCTCCACCGTTCGCCCGTTGCCTGGCAGCTCACGAAGGTGGAGGCGGGGTCCAGGCGCACTTGCGGAGGCGGACTGAGCCTATGCGCGAGATAAGGCCGCGGAGACTGTGCAAGTTGCGTTTGCGAGACCTGGCGCCAAGAAGAGCTGCCATGCGCCGCGGAGGATGCAAAGCCAATAGACGACTTCAGGTTGGCGAGCTTGCGCGCCTGCTGCTCCTCGAATAGCTCAGCCGCCCCGGCCGACATGCCTTCGGCGAAACGTTCGAACAGCTCCCGACAAGCTTGCGAGGTCCCGCCCCACCCTGACGCTGAGCCCCACCCTGACGCTGTCGGCTCGTGGGATGGGTTGCGGCGCGTCAGCCGGCGCACGGGGGAGGGAGGCGCCCACCCATGTGCCGGAGGAGCGGCGACGCTTGCTTGTGGAGGTTGCACGGCCGCCGAGCCGAGATCGGTCAGACGTAGGGCTGGCAGAGACCCCTACAGGAGCTGCGGCGGCAATCTACAAATTCTTTTGCCCTCTCTGCATGCTGCATTTCCGGGAGGTGTTCGAGACCTCCTGCTGCAACGCGTACATATGTGCCTTTTGCCACGCCGACTATGTCCGGCGGCAAGACGCTAGCGAGCCGAGCTGTGCAGCCGATGCCTTCATCCCGGTCGGTCTCGCATGCCCTCACTGTGCCTCGACGTCGACGGGGGATCCGCTGGCGCGCCGAACCCAGGAGGACACGGCGCGGCTGCATGTCGATTCGCCCGCCACAAAGAGGGCGTTGCAAGCGGCCGCGTCTGGTGGCAGGGCGGCGGATGAGGATCAACCGTTCTCGCCGCTGCGGATAGGGGATGGGTTTGCAGCTATGGCGCGGAAGATGAGCCGGCTTGAGGATACTGGCATGTCGTTCTCCAGCGGCAATGTGAGTACTTCTTTCTCCGAGAGCTCTGAGAGCACTGTCATGTGAAAGAGACACACGTACGGCTTTTTACGTATTATCATTTACCTATTGCTATTATGGCGCTCGTCACGGTGCAAGGCGCCAGACGTACCGTTGAGAGGGCGCACTGCTCTGCCGTTTGCGGTTATGAGTGTCATATCAGGTCCGACGGGAACGGTCTTGTCAATAGAATAAGAGTGTGCGGGTCTCGAGATGATTCGAAGCGAACGCAGCTCACCACACACTGCCGGGCCGCAGGCCACTGCACTCTCTCGTCATCTACCCCATCCCACATAAGCGCGCTACTCTCGCATACCCGAGCCTCCGTCCCCGCCGGCGCGCGGCTCTCCGCGCTCGCGCCACTACCCCTCCACCGCCCTCCCTCTCGCCGCGGCCTCACAAGCTGTACCCATCGCGCGGCGAGTCGTCGCGCCCGGCGTCAGCCTGTCGCGAGGTGAACATGGCCAGCGTGGAGAGCAGCCGCGCGCCTCTGCCATCGTCGCGGCCGGTTCGCGCCGCGGTGGCTGGCTGCAGCCCTCTCCACGCCTCCCTCAGCCGCGCGGTCGCCGGGCCGACCTCGACCGCCTCGTAGACCTGTTCACAGCTGCGGGTGTGAAGAGACTCTTCACAGCTGCCGACCTCGACCGCCTCGTAGACCGAGTCGGCGGGCCGCGTCTCGGTGGAGGCCGCGCCGCCGCCCCGCCTGACCAGGCCCAAGTCGAGGAGGCGCGCCAGCGCCGCGTGCGTGTCCAGCTGCACGGCAACGCCGAACTCGGCCTCGAGAAAGGCGCTGCAGAGCACCTCGGCCTCGGCGGCGCTCATCGGCAGCGGCGGCGGGCTGTCGCCCCCCGCACTCGAGCCGACCACAGAGCCGTCCGGGCCCGACTGGGCCAGCATGAGCAGGTAGACGAGGAGCGCCTCGCGGTGCTCGTGCTCCTCGATCGAGTTGAGCACGTGGAGCAGCACCTAGTCCCATACCTCCAAGGTATCGAATCCAGTGTGGGTGCAGGGGCTGTGGGTGTGGTGCGTGCAGCAGGCACCCCCTTCTGCGAGTCCTGCGAGCGGTGGTACAGCGTCGTCCGGATGAAGTCCTCCATCGTCGCCTGTGCGCACCAAGTCACCGCTCACGATGGACGACCGATGACCCCTTCGATGGAAGGCCCTCCGCCGTCGCCTTTGCGCCCACCACGTACCGCCACGTCTGGAACGCTCGCAGCGCGAGCAAGCCGATGAGCGTCGCCCGGACGGTCCAGTCGGTGCCTAGAAGGGTCCTAGAAGGTTCCTAGAAGGGTCCAATGAGCGTCGCCCGGGCGGTCCAGTCGGTGCCGTGCGCGAAGTAGTAGCCGTAGAGCGCCGTCGCGATGCCTAGAAGGTTCCTAGAAGGTTCCTAGAAGGTTCCGAGAAGTAGTAGCCGTAGAGCGCCGTCGCGATGCCGGCGAGGAGGAGCATGACGATCTTGACTTGGTCGGCCGACTTGATGCGGGTGGCGCGCAGCCCAGGGAAGACGACCTAGTCACGATTGCATACTCGCTGCTGTGTAATGGCGAGCAGACTGACAACAACAACTACTACTACTACTCATAAGGTGTACCTCGACGTCGGCGATCGGAATGTCGCGGAAGGACTTGAGGCGCACCTGCTCATGCATGATTACGCATCGGCTATGATGACCTGATGCGCGCACATGAGTGCCCCCCCCCCCCCCCCTCCCGGCGAGTGAACTGTCTTCCCAAACTGTCCTCTCAGAACGTGGCGCGCCTGCACCCCCTCCCTCCCCTCCTCGTCGCCTCCCACGCCGCCAAGCTCCGAGTAGAAGACGGCGACCTCGTGGAAGGTCGGCTCCTGCACGGTCAGCCGCCTAGTACCGCACCTCCGCAGTGGTCGAATCCAGCCTGGGTTCGGCCCCGTGGGTGGTGCGGTAGCGGCGCAGGAAGAAACGGCGCAGCAGCAGGCAAAACGACGGGATCAGCCGGCCGAGGTTGATCCTCTGCGTGTCGATGCCGGCGCCGCGCAGCACCTCTGCAGCGTCGGCTTCGTGCGCAGAGGCGCGCGAGCCTACGCCGAGTGTAATCTCGTGAATCTCGTGTAATCTCGTGTAATCTCGTGAATCTCGTGTAATCTCGTGCGCAGAGGCGCGCGAGCCTACGCCGAGTGCGTGTGCTGCGCAGGCTGAGCAGTCAAGACAAGGTGTGGCGTGCGCACAGCCGCGCGAGCGTGAGCCACTGGCTCAGGACGGGGGGAGGGAGGGAGGGCGAGGTAGAGAGAGTGTGGAGCGTGTGTGCGCGCCTCGCTCCATGCCGGTGGCTCGCGAGGCGACGGCGCGGCAGAGGGCGGAGTAGCAGCGGCGGGCCGGGTCCGTGAAGAGAGTGTCTATCGCCATGTCGAGTTTCTCCTCGAGGAACCACTCCGCGCGCTGCTCGATCCCTAGAGATTACACGAGATCGCACGAGATCACACGAGATTACACGAGATTACACGCTGCTCGACGCCTAGAGCTCGCGCAGAGCCGCAGTCACAGTCATCTCAACCGCGACCGACACTGCGCGCACTCCTAGGAGTGGGGGTGCCTGATCCGCGGTGGAAGGCGAGCAAGATAACACACAGTAATGAGACTCATGATGGTGAGCATAATCACAATACTTAGAAGAATGAGGTGCCTGATCCGCGGTGGAAGACTAGCACGCGGCGCGAGAGCTGCGCCGCCTGCAGCCCGAGGGAGAGGGAGATCGCCGGGAGATCGCCGGGAGATCGCCGGGAGATCGCCGAGCTGTAGCCGAGCATAGCCGAAACACAGCCGAGAGATAGCCAAGCTGCAGCCGAGATGCAGCCGAGGTGCAGCCGAGATGCAGCCGAGCTGCAGCCGAGGTGCAGCCGAGCTACAGCCGAGGTGCAGCCGAGCTACAGCTGAGATGCAGCCGAGCAGCAGCCGAGCAGCAGCCGAGCTGCAGCCGAGCTACAGCCGAGATGCAGCCGAGCAGCAGCCGAGAGGCAGCCGAGCTACAGCTGAGATGCAGCCGAGCAGCAGCCGAGCAGCAGCCGAGCTGCAGCCGAGCTACAGCCGAGATGCAGCCGAGCAGCAGCCGAGAGGCAGCCGAGCAGCAGCCGAGCAGCAGCCGAGCAGCAGCCGAGCTGCAGCAGAGGTGCAGCCGAGCTGCAGCCGAGGTGCAGCCGAGGTGCAGCCGAGGTGCAGCCGAGCAGCAGCCGAGCTGCAGCCGAGGTGCAGCCGAGGGATGAGCCTGCAGACCGACGTGGGGGTGGCGGACAAACAGCCGCGAGATGAGCGACGAATCGAGCGCCTCCCACGCAACGTCGACCGGCATCACAAACATAAACGACTCGGCCTGCGCGAACTGCCACTCCTTTTGGGACATCATGCGGTAGTTCGCGCGCCTAGTCGGTGGCGGATGACCAATCCCGAAGCTGCCACTCCCCTCTTTCGCGCACGTCCTGCGGGAGTTCGCGCGCCGCATCAGCGCGCAGAGCCCGTCGATGAACCGGTCCGCCAGCGCCTCCCTCTTCCCGTCCCACCCCGGCGCAGACACGAGCCCCGAAGTCCGATCGGCAGCCTGCTCCCAGCCTGCGACGGGCTCGACCCCTCTTGTGTGGTGGCTGTCCGCAGGGCGCGTGTGCGTGTGTTGCGCAGCCGCGTGTGCGTACGCTTCGTGCGTGTGCGTGATGTGCGTGATGTGCGTGTGTGTGTGTGTGTGTGTGTGTGTGTGTGTGTGTGTGTGTGTGTGTGTGTGTGTGTGTGTGTGTGTGTGTGTGTGTGTGCTTTGTGCGTGTGTGTGTGTGTGTGTGTGTGTGTGTGTGTGTGTGTGTGTGTGTGTGTGTGTGTGTGTGTGTGTGTGTGTGTGCGTGCGTGCGTGCGTGCGTGCGTGCGTGCGTGCGTGCGTGCGTGCGTGCGTGCGTGCGTGTGTGTGTGTGTGTGTGTGTGTGTGTGAGTGTGTGTGAGAGTGTGTGTGTGTGTGTGTGTGTGTGTGTGTGTGTGTGTGTGTGTGTGTGTAGTGTGGGGAGGGAGGAGTGTGACGCGGCCGAGCGAGGGACCGCCATGCCGTGGTGGGGTGCGAATGAGGGGAGGATCGGCCTCTGGAAGGCCGTGGTCTGTCCACCTCCGGTCGACAGCTGGTCGAAAGCGTCGACGAGCCAAAGAGAGGACTCCTGCAGGCCGTGCCGCACGTGCCAGCGGAGCAGCAGGGACAGCTCCTCCGCAGCCTCGCCGTCCACGTCCACGCCGCGCTTCTCCAGCCGTGCGATCAGCGCGCGCAGCAGCAGCGCGGAGGGCACGTTGATCGTGCTCTGCCGGCGCGAGCGGCGCGACTTGGAGCTGCCGCTGCGCGGCACGAGTCGCGACGCCTCCGGATTGACCATCTTGCCCGCGGCCCGGCCGAGCAGCCACCTCTGCCGCAGCCGCTGGAAGAGGGACAAGCGCTGCTTGACCGTCGACACGTCGGGCGTGTCGCCCTCCTCCGTGCCAACCGACGCAATGTCGGACAGGTGCAGGTGGTCGTCGCGTGTGTCCTCGGAGAGCACCGAGCCGGCGGAGGCCTGGCGGAGCTGGAACGCGGTGGGTGCCATGAGATTGGCTCGCGGCTCTCACGGCCCTGTCTAGGCCTGAAGGCTTTGTCCTGCGCCCGACGCTCCTCTTCCGAGTGTTTGGTGTTTGCGAGAGCAGTCATGCGCCGGTCCACAGGCGTGAACACACCGTGGATAAGTGTTTCTCGAGGTTCTCGAGGTTGATACGTCCACCCATACCGCGTTGGTGTCCCAGTCGTTGGTCGGACTGTGTTTCGCCTTCCCATCAATCAATCAAAGGTTGATATCCTTTGGCCGCGTTGGGTAGCGAAGATTGGTGTGACGCGATCCACGCAGGCGTGGTTTCCGACGGCCGACCGTCAGTGCACGGATTTGCCCCTTCTTTGCTATAAGCGGGTTGATTGAGCGAGACTCGCACAGACAGCACTTGAGCACTGGATAGGGTCGATTCCGCATGGTACGGGACCCCTCGATCGTCTCGCCCTCCCTCACTGGTGTGTTCATTGGGGGGGGTCATAACAAACACGGTACAGGATCGAGGTGCACGCTGCCGAAGCAGTGTCGTCCCCCCTCTCCCCGACGGCGATGGCGGTGTGACCGATCGAGCTACAAGAGGAACTTGTTCAGCAGGATCCCCGGGATAGTCTGATGCACTACCCCTCACTGTGGGCCTGAGACCATCAGCCAGCATCCCGTCACCGTCTCGGGTTTGTGTGGGAGCGCTCTTTAAGAGACCTTTCATCTCCGCTTCTCTCCCCAACTCCCGCACGCAGGTATGTATCAGGAAGAACAGTTAGGATGGGCCCACACGCACTGCATGACGCCATGCATGACCGCACACCCTGACACACATCACACTCAAACACAAATGCCTCAGTCGTCAAGAGGCACCGCGCCTCAGACTCGCGACGAGCACCGCTCGCGAGTCCACCAGGCCCTCGGGCCCTTCGCCGGCCGCCTGCGGGCCGCGCAGCTCCTGCACGCCCTCGACTGCCAGCAGCTCGCCGCTCCCGCTCCCCTCGAGCGAGCGCAGGCACGCCTGGAAGGTGGGCGAAGGCGAGGTCGGCGATTCATTGAGGCACGCCGGGCCCCACCGACCAAAGGTGAGGTCGAGTGCGTGCGTCCAATTTCGCCATGATCCGGGTGGGGTGCGGAGGTACGGCTGAAGTGCGGTGCCCGGGGGAGGTTTGTGACGTCTGCTCAGGCACGCCTCCGCTTCCGGCCGGGTGGCATAGGGCCTGTACTCCGACTCGATGGGCAGCGCCTAATCTCGGTCACTCTGATCTCGGAACGGGTGGGTGGCTCTGACTCCGCTATGACAGGCGACGCCGCGAGCAGCAGGCCACTCGGCGCGAGCGCGCGACTAGTGACAGTCAATGGCATCAACCAACCGCCAGTGTGAATTGCAAGTCGTCTCCTAGCGCAGCGCGCGTGAGCATGTCGCGGAGGCTTCCCATCTCATCCGCGGTTGCGAAGCGTCCGTCGAGCGAGTAGAAGACGTCGCACGCCAAGATGACGTCAAATGGGCCCGCCAGAGTCCTCTCGGAGGAGGCGCAGCGCCAGTCCACCGTGCGCGCCTCGCAGCGGCTGCCTACGCCGTTGGCAACCGCGCCAGCCATTGCGCACTCCAACGCCAGCGGAGAACGGTCGGCGAGGATCACCTCTCTGGCGCCGGCGAGGCCAGCAGCGATCCCCGCTGTGCCGACGCCGCAGCCCACGTCGCAGACTCGCTTGCCGGCGATCAGCTCAGGGTGCTCAAGCAGGTGCAGGGCAGTGGCGGTGCCGGATGGCCAGGCCGCAGCCCAGAGCGGCGGGTCATCTCGTGCGTAGGGTATGTCTCGCCAGTCCTTTGGCAGCGCAAGCGAGAGTTGGTGGGCCGGGCTCAGCGTCAGCTCGATGCTCCGCATCGCGAGAGCGGCTGCGCTGCAATGGCGAGCGCTAGTTGACAGGCTCGGGCAGGAGAGAATCCGTGTGACGCGGAGCCGCATTGCCAGCAAATGCTGCCAACCGTTGCTCGACTACTGCACCGCCCACTGCTGCACCGCCGTTCGGAATGGGCAGTAGCTGGCCTGGCTGGCCGGGCGCGAGCCAGAAAGCTATTCACAGACCTGATGCAGACGTCTCTCGAGGTTCTCGGAGGTGGATATCCTTTGGCCGCGTTGGGTAGCAGACATGCGGTCATCCTCGATTCCTGTTTGTTGAATGTTGAAGCCCTCTTCGATGCAGTCGCAGGAGTGATAACCCACATCGAGGTGGGAGCCGCCCTGCGGCATACTGAATCCTCCACCAGTGGCGCAAGCCCGCTCGTCCCGACGCTCGAGCGACTCGTCCACCTTCCCAGCCACACCCTGCACAGCATCCTCCTCCTCCTCCTCACCCGTCGTCGGAGTCGTCGCCACGGCGCTCGAAGCGGCAGCAGAGCTCCTCTTCCTCTGCTTCCTCTGCTTCCTCTGCTAGCAGCTGCGCCAGCACCGCCTCCCACTCAGGGTCGGCAGCAGAGCCAGCATCGCTTTGAGCCGAGCAGCGCATTGCCACGTCCTCGTCGCAGAGCTCCACCGCGGCGAGAGACGTGGTGACAGTGGCGACCGACGTGCCAGTGGCGCGGCTGGCATCGCCAGCAGCGAGGCCGCCAGCATCGCCGCCGCGCACCGCGGCGTGGGGCGCAGCAGCGTGCCGTTCGGCCATCGTTTTACGACATCCGACCTGCTTTCACACAAAAACACAACCCCGGACCCAACTTTCACAGCACAAGCTTTGCCTTGGAGGCTTCTCTCTCGAGGTTCTCGAGGTGGATATCCTTTGGCCGCGTTGGGTAGCGAGGAGTTGGTGTGACGCGATCCACGCAGGCGTGTTTTCTGACGGCCGACCGTCAGAGTGCACGGAGTTGCCCCTTCTCCGACTGCCCCGGCTAGTGGAGGCTTCAGCATGTGCAGCGAAAAGCACCTGTGAAGTGGACTGATTTGTTTGTGTGCCCCCGCCCCTCGTAGCGCGCAGTGCGCCAAGAGCGCCCCATATGTGAGAACGTCCACGTTGTGTCGCAGGAACTCCCCAGTCCCCACACCGACCAGTAACCTACTCGAGTACCGGGGCCGCCATTCCCCCCGTCTATCTCAGAACCTCCAAAGCAGGATCAAGGCGGGGAGACGGGAGGAGACACTGACGAGCGAAGCACCCCCGCAGAAAGTCTCCTGTCCGCAACGCCACCCTGTCCTCTCCTCCCCACAACGCCACCCTGACCTCTCTTCGTGTGTGTGTGCGTGTACTCACTCATGCACCTCTCTTCCTTCTCTTCCCCCTCTCCCCGCGCTGCCCTCACCAAAACGGCGCGTGCCGGCCGTCTACGCCGCCTGCGAGAGCCGCGGATCGGCCTGCGCACAGCCGCTGACGCGGCTCTCGACCTTCGCGTCCACGGCGCGCTGCTCTGCGAGGCGTCCATAGTTGCGGTACCCCAGCTTGTCGAGCTGGTCTTTCCCCGCCAGGCCAATGTCGACCAGCGTTTTGAGCACGTAGGTCCCCGCGAGGACGGGCGGCGCATACGCCTCGTCCGCGTCCTCCTCCGCACCCTTGGCGCCCAGGACTGGCACCACCAGCGCGTCGCTCCGCAGGTGAACAAAATGCGCCATGGAGCAGCGGCTCCACTTGGGGATCTCCGGGGCCGTGATGACGTGCGGCGTCGCGATGAAGGCGCCGCCCGAGAGCACCTCCAGCTGCTGGCCGACTTGTGCGAGGAAGCAGCCGGGCGGTGGCGTCCCCTTGACCTTCTGGCCAGTCTCGTGCTCCTTGGTCGGCCGCGCGCGCAAGTAGAGCCCCGCCTTCTTCAGCGTCTCGGGGAATCCCTACGCCCCAGCTACAGCCGAGGTGTAGCCGAGATGGGTGGCGGGGGGCGAGGGAGCTACTCTCCAGGAGCGCTCCTCCATGCTTGGCAGCCAGCGCTTTCCATCCTTCAAGGCGCCGCCCGGCTCCATCTCGTAAAAGGCGCCGCCCGGCAAAACGGTGACGAGGTTCATGTCGGTGTGCTCCTCGCCCCAGTTGATCTCGCCATCGGCGGAGCGCTTGGCCAGCTTCTCGTCGAGCGCGAGGTACCTCAGCACACGTGTGAGGTGCGGCCCGCCCTCTGCCGCATTTGTGAAGGACCCCTCTGGCACCTCTAGCACCTGCACAGGTTCGCTTGGAGCTCAGTCGAACGGGTCCGAGGTGTCCCATATCCCCTAATCGCTGCGCCTTCTCGCTCAGCATGAGCAGCTTCTTCCCGATCGTGTCCAGGTTTTTTGCGCACTCGTCGTAAAGCGTCTTGAACTCGTCCCTCACCCTGGTGTGTTGGTTCACAGCCTTGTTATTGAGAAGAAAATACCTCCTTATGGCGCTGTGCGCTGGCCTGTGAGAGGTTGAGGTGCGAGCCCTGGAGGCCCTGGGGATGGGGGGGGACTACCCGCGGGCTTAGAAGGCCCGCGCGCAGGGGGGTGGGGCATTGAGACCGGTCATGAATGAGTGCGCGACACGCATGTTGCGAGCAGCGTTGTTGATGTTTTGCGCATCGCCACTGACGGCGGCGCGCGAGAGCTGTTGCGAGTGGTGTTGGGCGAAGCCCCGGGCGCTGCCGGAGGCTGTGCCGTAGTCGGTGCGGTCGACGGCGCTCGGGCTGCCGACCTCTTCACAGCTCAAGCAACCCGGCAAGCGACTGCGCATTGGCACTCTCATCGAGGTAATTGCCAAGCGACTCCCATCGTGAGGGCAACCGCCCATGGACGACTTCGTTGTGCCCGTCTTCGGCGAACGATCGCTCTTCGAGTTCATCGCGTGCTTGCTTCCCTCGCAAGCGGACATGGCGAGGCTGACGCTCGCGCTCCGGAGCGGCTGCCCACTCGCACAGGACGAGTTGGCAGCGCTCATGAGCCGGCACTCGATGCAGCCGCTGACGGGGAGCCAGCGGCAGATCGTCACCGACCCCGAGCTTGGCTGCAACAAGGATTGCTGGCGCACGGAGCCGACTGGCTTCAAGTTCGACCACGAGCCGACCATCAACTACCTCTACCCGCTCCGCCGCCGAGAGTTCATGGCCGAGTCGAGGCAGCGCTACCAGGACGCGGTGGCGCGGGCGCTCGCACTCCGCATCCCCGGGCTCGACGCCGTGCCGCCCTTCCTCTCGCGGATCGTGCCGCTGGGCTGCGCCATGCACCACTGCAAGAAATTCGGCCAGGAGTGCCACGTGTACTCCATCGAGTCGGCCGATGGCCCCGTCATCTTCACCTTCACGTACGAGATCCAGTCGACGATGGGCAAGGCGTGCTGCACGCACGACTGCATCTGCGACATGAATTGGACGGCAAACCTTGCCGTCCTCCTCCCCGGCGCCACCGAGGCGGCGACCATCTTCGGCGTCAGCTGGCGCATCCTCTCGGGCGACTGCCTCCTCCGCCCGCCGACTTCGCTCTGCGAGGAGACGGCACGCGTGTGTGGCATCGACGCCTCGATGGTGGGGGCGCTCGTGGCCGTGCTGGCCGAGATGTCGGGCTGGGGAGAGTCCGTGTACGACTTCTGCAAGGAGATCTGCGAGGAGTTCCCGGTGCCGGAGAGGGTCGAGGGACAGAGCTACAACCCGATGTATGACGAGAAGTACACGCCCCGCGCGCTCTTCGAGGGCATGCACAACGCGTGGACGCACTACCTCAACTCTCTCGTCCGGCTGCAGCGCATCTCCGACTTCAAGCGGCTCAACGCGATCGGCAAGGCCGAGTTCCACATGCGCCATCCGCCGCCAGAGCCGGTGCGGCGAGAGCGCGGCAACGGCGACGTCTATTACGACTACCATATGCCGTATCACGTCTCCATCAACGGGCACGACTCGTTCACGGACACGCGCAGCTACGAGACGTTTGTGGGGCACAACAAGGACTGGGGCGTGACGGCCGACGACCTCGTCGCGCTCACCCGCTCCTTCGGCTCGTCCGACTTCCTCGACCCGGAGCTCCCGTCCGACTTCCGCAGCACCGACCGAGCGGAGGACAGAGTCGAGGTCTGCGCCAAGTGCCCCGAGGACTTCCTCGACAAGCAGTACGAGCTCAATCTCAACCACTTCGTCGAGCCCTGCAACAGCCGGTACTTCAAGACGTACCCGGAGGACTGCTCCGACGGCACGTGCGAGTGCCACCCCTCCATCCGGCACGACGTGGAGGAGCTGCTGCTCGCGTCCGACCGCAGCAGCCTCGCGGCGCTCGCCGTCGACCTCGACGGCTTTGGCGCCCGCCTCTCGTACGACGACCTGCTCGACGGCGCCGGCGACTCGAAGAGCATCACGCGCTGCAACGTGCGCGACAACGACGAGGAGTGGCAGCGGCGGGCGAAGGTCCGCGAGGCGGAGGAGGCGGCGGCGCGGGAGGAGCGGCTGAACCGCCCGCCGACCCCGCCGACCCCCGAAGAGGCGGCCCGGCGGGCCGAGCGGCAGCGAGAGCGTGAAAGACAGGAGCGCGAGGTCCCCGGGTGGAAGATGGAATGGCTCCATCGCGAGTTTGGGCAGAAGGGGCCACCGATCCACCTCAAGGCGGTCACGCAGGACGGGAGCGAGACCCACTTCAAGGCGTGCTATAGAGTGTGGCCTACTCCCACCTTCCCTGATTCCCAGTCCCTCTCAACCTGCTCTCGACGTGCCCCTCCACAGATGAGCATGACACACGAGCTGTCGAGGCTGATGGCGGCCTTCTGCAAGAGCCGCGGGGTCCGCCTCTCCGCGGCACGCTTCTTCCACAAGGGCGAGATGCTCGACGGGCGCCGCATGCCCTGCCAGGTCCGTACTGCTGCCCGCCATTTCAGCGCCTTTTTGGGGCCCCGCATGAGCGATCCCGCCCCCGCCCTCCTCGTAGTGGGACGGCAGCGGCTGCATGAAGGACGGCGACGAGATCGCGGTGATCGTGCTGGAGGATACGGCAGCCGCTGGCGACGGCGAGCAGTGATGCCGTTGCTTCCCCCCTTGCTTTCCCCATGAGTGTGTTCGCTCTTTCCTGCCGGGCGCTCCCCAATAGCCGAGAGACCCAGCAGAAGTAGTAACGGAGTACGTAGAGCTGCTTGTCTTTTGATACCCCTGGTACTGTAGTTGGTGTGAGTTGGTGAAAATGGCCAGAGCGGCTGGGGCAGTCGAGTGTGGTGCGCAGCACGTCGTGGAGGGGAGCTCAGCGTGTGTGGCGGCGTGAATATAAAGTAAAAACTCAAATCTCTCCGATACGGCTCTACGGCGACCCCTGGCGCCGGTTCGCGGTTGCGGGTTGGGTCGTCTCCAGAGTCGAAGCGCGGATTTACGTTGCGCGGGGGCTCCGCGGCAATCAGATAGACACACACGACACACAGATCGGTATACAAAATGCGCCTGCGGGCGGACCCTCACAGATCCGGATCACACACGACACACAGAGACGCGTACTGTTTCATGCTGCAGACAGACATTGGGGCGGACAATCATGAACGCGTGTAGACGAGTGTCGGCGTACGTACCTCACTGTCCGGTCATGGACAACCGCCGCCATGGCTCCCGCGTGGGTATGCATCATGCGAAGCGCATGCACGGGCCGTGCCCTGCAGCTCAGCCGCTGCACTCGCCAGCTGCCGGCCCGACAGGGACGCCCTCCGCGCGACCCCGACCTTCGCCTCCCTCGCGGCGAGTAGGTCGGCCGCCTGAGGTACGGTGCGGTACGGTGAGCGTCTCCACACATCTACACCCACATCTACATCTTGTGGCTGGGGCAAGAGCCGGGCAGCCCTCGCGACTCCACGTAAGGTAAGGTAAGGTAACGAGGGCTGCCCCGGACCGATTTACGCCCCGGCGGGGATGGATTTGCGGGTTTCCCCGTGCCGCGAGACTTGGGCATGTATCTCCCGCGATGTGTCGCGGACAAACCCAAGTAGACGCCCCTTGGGCGGGATCGCGTCTTACTTACACAAGAGGAACTATAACACATCGCTAGTCATGTACAATCATGAGAACTGGGTCCAGGCCCCATAGTGAGGTGGTCTCCCAGTCTAGCGCACCTCGCGCCCGGCGGGCGGCGACCTGTCCGTCCACCGACCCCTCCGCCCGCGCGTGCCAACGCCGCCTCCACCGCCGAGTCGAAGAGCCGATGTAGACCCGTCGTCCGTCCACCGTGTGGTACGCCGCGAAGCGGCCCGACGCCCAGGGAAGTCGGCAGCCGCGCGAGCCCGACGCCTGCTCCTGCTTGCGCACGCCTGCGTAGCCGGTGCTGCTGCGACTCGAGAGGTGCAGCCGCCAGCCCTGCGCCTCTGTCACCACCGCCGGCGCCTCCCCCGCGGGGCCCATGTGGGATGGACCTGCGAAAGCGCGGGGAAGGGAGAGTGCATTCAGAAGGCAGAACCTGAGCACAAGTGGGGGGCTTGCTCGCGAGCCTTGACTTGCATCGACTTGATTACAACGCGGAGCCATCGCGGGTAGCCAGAGGCGGCGGACCGATCAGCATGGGCGGCGTGTCATTCTGCAGTCGATCGCCGCCGAGCGGCATAGCGGCGCCGTCGCGGGTAACCAAAGGCGGCGGGACGGCGGGAGAGGGCGGTGGTGCGGGCGGTGATGCTGATGATGTGGCCATTGGCCGCCGCCGCGTCCTCTTTGCGAGCGCTCTCGACTTCCGTCCCTTTTTACGCTTGTCCCCCCTTGCTCGTGTGTCTGACTTTTCGCCGGGTCAGGCCACTTGCTGTCGGCCGTCTACTTGGGTTTGTGGTAAACTTCTCCACACACACGAGGTGGTGTGGGGCAAGGGGGGGCAACCCTCGCGTCTCCACGTCTGACGACAGGAGCCCCACGGCATTCAAAGTGCAAGGCCCAGTGCGCGTGGGTGAGCGGTGTGTGTGTGTGTGTGTGTGTGTGTGTGTGTGTGTGTGTGTGTGTGTGTGTGTGTGTGTGTGTGTGTGTCACGTCACTGCATCCTCCGCCGGTTCCTCCCGTCGCCTCTTCTTTGTTCGAATGTTTTTCAATCCATCCTTCACAAAGCCCTCCCATGTAGCTAGCGTTCTTTGCGAATGTCTCGAGGTGGCCAGCAGGCGCTGTCTGCTCGCGGTCTGTGCGGGCCGCTCGTCCTCCTCGCCCTTCTTTCGTCCTCCCGTCCCTCCCCTCCACCATGGCCTTCTCGGCACTTCTTTCTCCATCCGCCTCGCCCTGCCTTTTCGCATCGTGCCGTTCGCCCTCCATTCGGTGACCTCCATGGCTGTCCGCCCCTTTTTGGGTGGCGCTCTCGATACGGTTGCGTCAACCTCGACGTCGCTGTCGCCCTCCCCGTCCCCGCCGGCGTCCGTGCCTCGGTTCGCGTCATCGGTAGCGTCTCCGTTGTTCCCTCGTGCCCCGCCGTCGCCCTCTCTGCTCGGGCCGTTAGCGATTTCGCTCCTCCTGCGTGTCGCCCCTCCGTCCCCTCCCCTTTCTTCGTCGTCATCGTCGCTGTCGCGAAAGCCCTCCGGTCCCTCGATTCCCTCGCCTATCCCCTCCGCTGCGTCGTCCCAGTTTATATCCTCATCCTCTGCGCACGTCGCGTTGGCTTCCTCTCTCCCCCTTTCCTCCCTGCCCCTCTCGCTGTCTGGTGTTAATGGACCCCCTTCCTCTCCCTCGCCACCGTCACCGTCTCCATCCCCGTCGCTACCGCCCTCCATGCCCGCCGCCCTTTGTTTCACACTCGTCTCTGCCATGTCCGCCGTCGCCGCCGTCCTGTCTGCTGCGCTCTGTGCTCCGTGGTACAGTCGCTTATTGTTGCTCAGGATTAGCTCACGCACCTCAAAGTCGTCCCCGCCCTCGTCGTCACTTCCATCCAGCTGCGTCCCCCCTGCTGCCGTGTGTCGTGATAGTTCGTCTGGTACTGTCTCTGGTGGCTGCGCCGTTCCTGTCCGGAAGATCTCCCCAGTGTAGATGCTACACACCTCAAATTTCTCTAGCCTCCTCGTCGCCAGTAGGCCGAGTTCCCCTTCCGCTATGCTAGAGGGGCCTACCTTCGCCCCTTCCACCGTGCCGCCCGTCGTTAGCATGGCCGTCGTTACTTTCGCCGCCGCCTCTGCTGCTTGTCGGCGGAGCGCCTCGCGCCTTCCCTCGTCTCCATGCTCCTGGTCTTGTTCTTTTTGTTTTCCTGCGCTTCCTGTCGCTGGTCCGGCGACGTATCTTGCCGTCTGCCTTCGCTTCCTGGCGGGCCGCGTTTCCTTCCCCTCGTCCCGTCTGTTTTCTCCTGCGTGGTCGCCCTCGCGTGCGCCGCTCGCCGTCTGTTCTCCTCTCTGCTCGCCGTCCTCGTCCCCTCGCTGTCGTCGCTTCCCTCCGGCGCTCGCCGCATCGTCGTTCCTATCACCGCGTTTCCTGCGCTGGCCTTCGCCTTCGAGCTCGCAGTGGGTCGTTTTGAGTGTCATCCCCATCGCTCTCGTCGTTCTGCCTCTCCCCGCTTCGAGGCGTCTCTCTGCCTCTTCCCTTTCCTTCTCCTCGGCATCACGTTGTCGATGTCGCCTCCGTCGCCAGCAAATACACGCATTCGCCGCCCACTCCATTTCTCGTATCCTCTCCTTCCTTTCCTTCTGTCCCTCTCTCAGGCGTTCTGTTTCCGCGGCTACTCGTTCCTTCCTCTCCGCCTCGAGTCCCTTCCTCTTCCCTTCCCGTACTTTGATTATTGATGCCGCCGTCTGCTGCAGTGCCTTGAGTGAAGTCACCACCCGTGTGTCATACTCCCTCATGATGTCTTCTGGCGGGTCCTGGTCCATCACACTCGGCTCAGGTAGTCGTCCAGCTAGCAGTTGCTCCATCGCCTCCCATTCCTCGTCGCTCTCCCTTCTTCCTGCGCACCTCTTCGTCGCCCCAGCAATGGCGCGTACAGCGAGCGCCTGGGCTTCGCACTCTGCGGTGTGGGCGAGTGTCCGCCTCCTTGACTTCGGTGGCGTCCATCGTAGCGCCTTGAGCACGTCCGCCGCGCCTTTCCTCATCGCCCGGTAGTGCTCCCTCCTCTCTCCCTTCACCGCCTCGCACTCGGCGCATAGGACGTGCCTAGTGTTAGCTATTGTCCTGCAACATCCAGGATGCCAGCAACCTTCAGCCCCATCGGCACACGCTCCTCCTCCCTCCTCGTCCCACCCGTCCTGCCGCGCCTCTGCCTCTAGGCTGGCCCTCCATCGCCTCCCGTGCTCTATACCTCGGGTCTGTCCCGTCCGCATGCCGTGCACCAGCCTTAGCCTCGCCTTTTCCCCGCAGGCCTCGGGCTGGCGCTGGGTCGAGTTTGGACCCCGCTCTCTGCTAAAGGGCAGGAGCCCCGCACGGCATGGGCATCGGATCGCTGGTCGAGCGACCCGGGGGATGCCCCGCGCGCCTGACCCAGGCGCGAAAACGAATCTGCGAGGCGTGGCCGCTTATGCGGCCCGATGGGGAGGAACGGGGCGAGCCCCCTCCAACCCACCCGCGCTAGGTCTCGGGTTTGACGCATGGGGTCACTCCCTCCCGCGAAACTCGTGAACTAGCCGGGGCAGTCGGAGAAGGGGCAACTCCGTGCACTGACGGTCGGCCGTCAGAAAACACGCCTGCGTGGATCGCGTCACACCAATCCTCGCTACCCAACGCGGCCAAAGGATATCCACCTCGAAAAAGAAAGAAAGAAAACAGACAACCCAAGGGAGGGATGGGAGAACGGCACGCCGTCACATTCACCTCGAGGTCCTCGACAGGAGAGAGAGAGAGAATTCTTGATACGAAACCACGACGACACACACCAGTCGACTCGCATCGGTTGCCTCCATGAACGGCGGAGCTATTCTCGCGCCCACACCACACCTGGCTCCAACGTGGACACGCCCATAGCTGGGGACACTACTAGGTCACGCATGGCATCACAGAAGTTTTATCTCTGGGCCCCGAAAGGCATCTCTAGCAGCGTCGTTACGCATGCCCCCTCCCCTCCTGGGCGCATGCGCCTCACGTCTCGCCAGAGCATAAGCCCTTGGCGTGTGGCGAGACGAGTTTTTCGCAATCGCAGCGAGCAGCAAGCCGCCCGCCGCAAACAGCCGGAGGCCTCGCCGCGGCACTGGCTGCGCCGCGGTCCCGCACCCGTCGACGCAGCTCCCCCCGCGGAAGACCGCGCGTAGCGACGTCTTGACGATCGAGATGAGCGTGCCTGAAGCTCGCCCACCTACTGCCCCTGAGAGTTGGTTATTGAGTGGGATCAGCTCCCCCCCTTGGGATCGAAGCCGCCACAACCTCACACCCAACATCCCAGGCGGGATCAGAAGGGGACTCCACACCGGACACCGCCCGGGCACAGCCCCCCTACCCGTCGGATCGCACAGAGGGCCCCCTCGGAGCAGCCCACACACAATCACGCATCGGCAGATTGAGTGCCTGAGTCAGGCAGACAGCACAGACAAGAGGAGAGAGAGGAGAGAGAGAGAGAGAGGAGAGAGGAGAGGGTGAGGGTGTGAACACACGTGAGGAGTGGGGGAGGGTGTCTGTGGTGGGTTGTAGTCATACTACGTGGTTAGAACCACGCGCCCCTCAGGAGCTAAGGAAGAGTGTTGGGTGTCAAAACACCGGGGTCGGAGACAGGCGATGGCCAGCCTCAACGACGGGGTGACTGCGAGGCAGTCCGAGCACGAACTAGTCGTCGATCCGCTGGCGATCCCCGCCGCTTCACCGTCGGAGCGGCGGCGGGTGAGAGTTAGTCAAAGGTCCACCACACAGCCTCCAGCCGCCAGCCTCCACCTCCACCGTCGAGCCGCCATCGCTGCCGCCCGCGACGCCGCCCGCCGCGTCAGATAGCCGCGACGCGCGCACCGAGTCGAGTCGGAGAGCCGAGCCGCACCAGCAGCAGCATCTGCACCAGCAGCACCAGCAGCACCACCACCACCACCACCAGGGAGAGAAGCGCACCTGCCCGACGCCGCCCGCCGCGTCAGACGCTCGCGACGCGCGCGTCGAGCCCTGTCGCAGAGCCGCGCCGCGCCAGCAGCAGCATCTGCACCAGCAGCAGCACCACCACCACCACCAGCAGGAACAGAGACAGGCAGTGCAGGCGTAGAAGCGCTCGCAGAGCGGCGCGCAGCGCCGCGCACGCCACGCTGCGGACCGTCGCACGAGCGCAGCGTACGTCGGCGGCGAGCCGCGTCGCCAGCCGTCTCGCGAGAGCGCGGCGCCGCCGCGTGCGCGCAGCAGCCGCCGCGGCAGAGGCGAGCCGCGGCGACGTCCGCACTAACGGATAACGGCCATTGGCGGTTCTCTCTCTCTCTCTCTCTCTCTCTCTCTCTCTCTCTCTCTCTCTCTCTCTCTCTCTCTCTCTCTCGTCCTCTGGGGAAGATTTCTTGATTCCGTAGACTTGTCTGCAGCGAGCGGTGCCGACGCTCCACAAGCCCACGCGGCGCTGCCAGCAAACAATAACAACATCACAGCAAAGCACTTCATAGTTGGCGTGGTGATGGCCGCGGCCCTGGTCAGGGCTCTCGTCGGCTTGTTCGCTGTGGGCGCCGGCGAGGCGCGTCGCACGAGCCTCGCCATGCAGTACAAGCCTCTGCGCCGCCACGCGAATCTGTTTGAGGACTGGACGGAGTGGGTGCACCCGCCGCTGCTTCACGCGATCCGCTCCTCCAATGCGAGCGCGCTGCTCGATCTGCTGCGAGAGGAGGCCGGCGGAGGCGACAGCTCCGGCGTCTACTCACTCCCGCTCTTTCTCGACGCAGAAGGAGGGTGCGCGTTCTGCGACTTGCTGCTGGACGAGCTGGACGGGTACTATGCCTCCGGGCTGCCCATCGAGCGGCCAAACTCGATGAACAATTATGGCATCATCGTCAACGCCATCGGGATGCGGCCTGCGATCGACCGGCTGCAAGCGGCGGTGCTGCACCCCCTGGCCGCGCTTCTGTACCCCGAGCAGGCGCGCCGCGAGATGTAGTCGAGATCGATCCGAGACCGATCCGAGACCGATCCCGGCAGCTGGGCTCTGTCGGGCATGAGTCAACGCCATGAGTGGCGCCACGCACGAGAGCGGCTGCGGCATGAAGCGGCAAACCGTGTGCCTCTTTCCCTACCGGCCTGCCCCTGTGCCCTGCTGGGGCAGGCTGATTTCCCGAGGTCGCCCGAGTTTACCCGAGGGTTCCCTCTGGAGCAGGCGGAGGGCGGGTTCACGTCGCACCACTCCTTCATGGTCAAGTACAAGGCGGGGCAGGACCTCGGCCTGGACATGCACACGGATGACTCCGACGTCACAGTCAACGTCTGCCTCGGCAAGGACTTCCGCGGCGCCGCAAACCAGATGCGGAAGACGGAGACGGCTGTGTGTCCCGACGAGCACTCGAGACGACACCCGACCCGCTGTGTTCGGCCGTCTTCCACCGTGATCCTCCGCCTCAGTGCCCCTCCCACCCACGCGGTGCTCGGAGTACACGGCTGTGGGCCGCACCCCAGCCCTGCTCGTGGTCCCATGACGCAGGCGCCGCGCTGACCGTGTGCGGCGACTCTCGCTCGCCTTCGCACCGCCAGTTCTACGCCTCGTACTCACACGAGCGAGGCCTCGCGCATGTCCGCCTCAGCTCGACTCCCCTCGACGGTTGAGCCATGAATCGCAAGTTTCGTCATCAACAGGCCGCGCGCTTCTCCACCTCGGCTCGCGGCGGCACGGCGCCGACGACATCGCCAGTGGCGAGCGCAACAACCTCATCGTCTGGAACCAGAATGCGAGGCGCCGCGCCGCGCCAGGCCGTGCGCGGGCAATCTCGGGTGATCTCGGGGTGATCTCGGATGGTCTCCTCCCCCCCCCGCCCAGGTACCGCGCCTCGCCAGGCTACGTCAACCGGCAGCCGTACTTGCGCGAGGCGGCCCCGCCCGACAAGCGCTGCCTGAGCTACACGCGCCCGGCGCGACTCTGGCGACGGGTGGGTGAAGACTGGACTCGTGAAGAATGAGATCTCGCTCCTAGGCACGACCGCGACTTCGGCGACTTCACAGCCTACCCGCCCGGCCTCGAGGCGAGCGAGATGCACTCACACTCACACACACACACACACACACACACACACACACACACACACACACACACACACACACACACACACACACACACACACACACACACACACACACACACACACACACACACACACACACACACACACACACACACACACACACACACACGCACGCACGCACGCACGCACGCACGCGCACGCACGCACACACGCACGCGCACGCACACACCTGACACTCCAAATGCCGTGTGCGGAGACAGCACCGGACGTGGAGACGCGAGAGCAGCTGCGTGAGAGGAGCCCACCTTCGCTCCGCACTCAAGAAGCGTGGGCCCCCCTCCCCTTGCCTTAGGAGTTCCGCGGGCGCGGCTGGTGCCCTCCCGCCTTCGCGTGCTACGACAGCATGGCGCCTGCCCTCAAGAAGGACGAGCTGTGAAGCTGCGCGGCGCGTGAGGTGCCGCGCTTGCCTCGTAAATCCCCTGCTCGGCGCGGAGCGATGACGTCCGGCTTTGGGTCTCATCTAGACATAGGAAGGGAGAAGCTTGTGTGTTTGTAGTGTGTGTGTGTGTAGCCCGACCAGCGATATGGCAAAAGCTTTGTACTATTCTCACCCGTACCCCCCCTCCCTCCCCCGCCACGTCGGCAAGGACCAAGTCGGCCGCAAATCAGAGACGAGAGACGGACGGACGCACACATACAATGTCGGCAGGCGCTAGCAGCACCCACGCGACGGCGAGCGGCTCAGCGAGCCCGGCCTCGCATCGCTTTGAGCCCGACCTCCTCATCGCGCCCATGCCTTCCGCGGGTATCGTCGAGCTCGTCGAGCACAAACGCGAGTCGCTGAGCGAGTTTAGCCGGCCCCGCACCCACCCGAGCGGCCCACGCCGCCACCCAAGCTGGCTTTGGGACCTCGGCCCGTGCTCCTCGGCCGAGGAGGAGCGAGCGGTGAGCCCAGCAGCGCCAGCGCGCAAGGAGCGGGCCGCCCGCGTGGTGCGCGGCTGCGACTCCGCGCGCGCGCGGAGGACATCCAAGGGCAGAAAATCTCTGCGGGGCAGCAGGCAGGACGCCGAGCAAGCCGAGGCGGTCGAGGGGGCCGAGGCGGCGGCAAATGCAGCGGAGCAGGACGCAAAGATTGCGGCGGCTGTGGACGCGGCAAGGCGGGCCCGGGCCAAGTCAGCTGGCGCCAAGGAGGCACAGCGGGCGGCGGCGGAGATGGCCGCAGAGATGGCGGCTGAGCGGGAGGCAGCGGAAAGGGCGGCGATCGAGCGTATGGTGCGAGAGCGGCAGCAGCTCGTGTATCTCAAGGCGCTGAGGAACGGCCTTGACGCCATCAAGACGGTCGCAAAGCAGAAGAGGGCGGCGGAGAAGGCGGCGGCGGAGAAGGCGGGCGGCGGAGAAGGCGGCGGCGGAGAGGGCGGCGGTGGAGAAGGCGGCGGCGGAGAGGGCGGCGGCGGAGAAGGCGGCGGCGGAGAGGGCGGCGGCGGAGAAGGCGGCGGCGGAGAGGGCGGCGGCGGAGAAGGCGGCGGCGGAGAGGGCGGCGGCGGAGAAGGCGGCGGCGGAGAGGGCGGCGGTGGAGAAGGTGGCGGCGGAGAAGGCAGCTGCGGATGCAGCAGAGGTGGAGAGAGCGGCGGCGGAGAAGGTGGCGGCGGAGAAAGCAGCTGCGCAGGCAGCAGAGGTGGAGAGGACGGCGGCGGCCGAGAAGGTGGCGGCGGCGGTGGAGAAGGTGGCGGCGGAAGCTTTCGCAGCGGCCGAGGCCGTCGTGGCGGACGACGCGGATGACGAGGCGGCTGAGGCGGCTATTGCGGCTATGGCGGAGGGCGAGGACGACGCGCCCCGCCCGAGTGTCGCCGCGCTGCGCGCCAGCTTTGCTGAGGCCGGCGCGTCGCCGCTCACGCCGGAACAGATCCCGACGCGGGCGTCGTGGTCGTCGGCCGGTCGGTGGCAGTCGAGGGTGTCAGCAGGCGCATCCGCTGGTGTGGGTGCCGTCGCGGCGCTCAAGCCAGTGCCCCGGTCCTCCTCTTTCGGCCGTTCGACGATGTCGGCTCCAGACTCGGCGGCAGGCGGCGTCTCTGCGCTAAAAGCAAAGTTCGCGGGCAACAGTGCGCAAGTATCGAGTCGCAGCTCGCAACGCGCGCGCAGTAGCAGGCCACAGGTGCCGGGCAAGCTCAATGGCGCCGTCACAGGCCTGAGACCGGGCAGCGGCCTGCACCGCCATCTTCTGCAGGCGGGCGCTGAGCGTTAGCCAGGTTGTACCTAGCTAGGACATTCGATTAGTCGGTAGAGTGATTGTGTGACGTTTCCCGCATGCTTTGTCTTGCCGTGCTCTCCAATAGATGTTTATGCGTAGATGACGAATCTTTTGCTGGCCATCGCACCGAAGTGCGAAGATGGTATACGGCAAGCTAGAGTACCCCCACGCCGTGTCGCGGCGCGTCGGCGTGTACCGTGTGTTCTCCGTCGGCCAGCAACCCCAAACGTCGTTCTCCCGCGCGGTGCGTGGGCGGATGTGCGGCCCGCCACTGGCGTGGGGAAGAAGGAGGAACTCGCACTGGGCGTGGGGTCATGGCATCCCGATATCAAACACAAGAAAGACATGATATTAAATATACAGTCAAGATAGAGTCGTATGCCTGCGCATTGGCTGGGCTCGTCCTTGCAGCCCCTAGTCGCGCACTCCATAAGCACCACACGCTCCCCGCCATTCAACAGTGCAGGTGCTCCGCATGCGGTTGCTGTCCCATCCCACACACGCACGCGCGTTGAGCTGCACCGGAGAATGAGTGGCTCGCTCTCTCAGATGCTGTATGCGAACGCGAAGGCGGACGGGACCGCGATTGCTTGCTCGTGGGCAATAAACACGGTGGTAGGAGGCGGCGTTTTTGTGCTGGCGGGCGGCGGGGCGAATCGAGGCGGCGACGCAGGCGGCGTTTCCTCCTCCGACGAGCTCCGCGGCGAAGCCTCGACAGACCAACGCATCGCCTTGGCCGCTGTGCCAGCTTCTGCGAGAGCCCGCTTGCTGCAGGCGGGGAGCGCTGCGGAGTCGGCTGCGGCGGGCAGCAGCACGGGCGCGGCGGCAAGCGCTAGCAGGAGCGCCGCCTCCTCCGAAGCCTGAGAAGGCTGCTGCAGCACCCCTTCCTGTACGGCCGATGGCGTTAGCCTCCGGGCCGCGCCGGGGCAGGTTCGGCTCTTGTGGCCGAGGTTGCCGCAGGCGGAGCACCGCTGTGGTCGATTTCGGCGGGTGTTTGCGCTGCTGCTTGAGGATCTGCCCGAACCCACCGACGCCACGAAGCTCGAGGTGTAGCCGCTCATGTTGCCTGATTCGCTAGCTGGAACTCGTGCGTCCTTCCTCCGTCTTGGCAACGTGTCAAGGAGGCTTTGGTTGGTCAAGTTCCAGCCCGTTTTAGGTTCGTTGTTAGACGGACCCCCCCCCCCACCCCCACCCCCACCCGCTGACAACAGACCAAGCCTCCAGCCCGCGACAGGAGAATTCCGCCCCCCCGCCCGGGCCCCGCTCCCCCCCCCCCCCCCAGGTCAGTCAGTCAGTCAGTCTTACACACCTCCAAGCATGGAGGACGGGCCCACACGCACACACACGCTGCACACGATTGGCTCGGGAGCCGACACGAGGCACACTGTCACCGGCCTTAGCACCGGGTCCGGACTGCTGGACACACAGCACGCAGCTCACAGGACAGCTCACGAGGTGGCGCTACATAATGGGGTTCTCAGGGACTGACACGGGAGAAGGAGGTGGAGCACAGGGACGGGGACACAGAACTCACGAACTGATGGCTGGCCAGCGCGTCGTCGCTGTCTCGGCTGGAGCCAACACCACAGCCTCGCCCTCACCGCTGGCGGCGCCGTGTTTACGTGGGGCACGGGCGGCCACGGGGCGGCCTCGGCCACGGAGAGGACCTATCGAACCAGCTGCTGCCCAAGCTGGTCGAGGCGTGGGCGCCGGGGCGGTGAGATTGATCGAGGGCGTGATTTGCAGGTGATTTGCGCGGAAGGGGGAGCGCGGGACGCATGGCGGGACACGAGGAGCGGCTGGCGGCGCGTCGGCCCATGGGCGCACAGCCGTGGTTGTATCACGCTGGCCCCAGGCCCAGCAGCAGCACATAGAACGATAAAAGCTGTGTGGGACGCTTGTTGAGGGGGGCGTCGGGCGAGACGCAGGGACGGTGTGAAAGCTGACACACCTCGCCGCCGATAACAAAAGGTCTGTGAATGTGTGTATCTTATCACCGTAACCGCAGCTATACGCCTATACCTAACAATGACGGGCCCAAGCCCGCCGATCCCCGGATTGAGCACCCTTTTGCCCCCTCCAAGGTGGGTTCGTTAGCCTCGAACGCGCCCGGGTACCACGGGGGGACCCTACTTTGCCCTCCCTCTAGCGCCCTTTTCCGCGCCCGCCTCTACCCGAACCCGGCCCCGGCGGGAAACTCCCCCCTCCACTGCCGGGGCTGGTCCATCCCCCAACCCAACAGTTGAACCGACCAACGCTGGGTTCGGCCCCCCCTTCTTCCGCGCCTCCC